GATAGAGTGTCGGCTTGGGGACTGAGGGGTCCCAGGTTCAATTCCGGTCAAGGTCATGTACATGGGTTGCAGGCACATCCCCAGTAGGGGGTGTGCAGGAGGCAGCTGAGTCAATGTTTCTCTCTCATCTGTCCCTCTCTCTTCCTCTCTGTGAAAAATCAATAAAATATATTAAAAAGAAGAAAAGAAAAAAAAAGCCATTGAACTGGGACTGAGGGGTAGACTGTGGAGGAATAGGCTTTCCAGAAGGAAAGAAGGCTGGAGAGCTGCATACACAGACTTGATGCAGGACAGGACACTGATTCTGCTCTCAGGCCACCCACCCCCAACAGTGACCTTGCTAACAACACCAAGAGAACCAGGAGAAGCCCCAGGAGGAGCAGATGTCCACAGAGGTGATCATCTGTGCATCGTTCTCAGAGGGTGGGAAAGGAAGCCCTGAGTGTAAAGGGCTATGACACGGCAGGAGATCTGAGCTTTCTGGAAGCAACAACAACCCCTGCTCCCCAGTCCTGCGTGGGCCATGGCTCCAGCAGCTGCCATCAGGGGCCCTGGGGGGTCTGCTCCGGCCCTGTGGGGTCACCTCGTTTCTAATTGGATTCTGGATTCTGAGCTGGTGGAATCCGAAAGCTAGAGTACACGTGACTGTGTGGTGTCATCTTCTGGCCAAACCACGGGACAGCTGAAATACTGCCTCGCCAGGCTGCGAGGAAGACAGCTCCTCCCGGGCCTCTCCACCCCTCTCCTGAGGAAGAAGTAACAGGACTGAACCCTCTCGGCTCCATCACCAGCTTTCTCTCTATGCAGAGATGTCATTTCTACAAGGCAGAGGTCCTAGGTCTCTCCATCACTGGGGCTGTGCATGACACTGCGGCCCCAGCAATGGAGACCGGCTACACTGAGCCGACCCCGTGCTCACCCAGTCCCACGGCAGCCAGTCCTGGGTGACAGTCATCGATCGCACCTATGTTGTAAGCATGTATCAGGACTTCATTCCTTCTTATGGCCAAATAACATGCCATTGCACAGATGTGCCGTATGTTGTTTATCCATTCCTCTCCTGACGAACAGTTGGGTAATTTTCACTTTGGGCTACCAGTAATAATGCTGCTGTGGACACTCATGTACAAGTTTCTGCATGAGCATACATTTTCATTTCTCTTGGATCTATCAATATATTTAAAAGTGGAGTTGCTGGCCTGATGATAATCCTATGTTTGGCCTTTTGAGAAACTACCTTATTGTTTCTCCAAAGCAGCTGCACCATTTTATATTGCCACCAGCAACGTGTTATTATGTCTTTTTTATTACAGTCATTGGAGTGGGTGTGAAGCAGCATCTCACGGTGGCTCTGACTCGCATGTCCCTGATGGCGGGTGATGGTGAGCTCACTGTATTTGGGAAAAGGCCTCTTCAGGTCCTTGGGCCGCGTTTTAATTGGGTTGCCTTTGAATGACTGAGCTATAAGGGTTCTTTATGTATGTTAGGTGCAAGCCCCCGTCTGTGATTTGCAAATATTTTCACCCATTCTGTGAGTTGTCTTTTCACTTTCTTTTTTTTTTTTTTTTTAATATATTTTATTGATTTTTTACAGAGAGGAAGGGAGAGAGATAAAGAGCTAGAAACATCGATGAGAGAGTCATCGACCAGTTGCCTCTTGCACACCCCCTACCGGGGATGTGCCCGCAACCAAGGTACATGCCCTTGACCGGAATCAAACCCGGGACCTTTCAGCCCACAGACCGACGCTCTACCGCTGAGCCAAACCGGTTTCGGCTGTCTTTTCACTTTCTTAATGGCGTCCTTGATAACACAAAAGTTCTTCATGTTAATGAAATTCAACTTATCGATCTGTTATTATTATTATTGTTGCTTGTGTTTTTGGTGTCACATCTTTAAAAAAAAAACCAATGGCTTATTTAAGGTCACAACGATTTTTATCTATGTTTCTGCTAAGAGTTTTTCGTTTTAGCTCTAACATTTAGGTTTTTGATCCATTCTGAGTTCATTTTTGTATATGGCATCAGAGAAGGGTTCCGCTTCATTCTATTGCATAGGCTATCACTTGTCCCAACACCATTTGTGGAAAAACTGCTTTTCTCCATTGAATTGTCATGGCACACTCATTGAAAATCAACTGACCACAAATGGGAGGGTTTATTTCTGGACTTAAAATTCCATTCTATTGATCTGCATGCCTATCCTTGTGCCAGTACCAAACTGTCTTGATTACTATGGTTTTTCAGTAAATTTTAAAAACATATTATTCTTTTTCAAGATTATCCTTAAATTTCCACTGATAAATTTTAGGATCAGTTTATCCACATCTGCGAAGAAGCCAGCTAAAATTTAATGAGGATGGGTTTCCAGTTCCCGTTCAGCCCTTCCCAACCTCGACGCCCTCTCCTCCCCCTGGGTTCCCGGAGGCACACTAAAATCTTTTCCATAAGTTCCATCTTTGCCCTGGTCAATTTGGTTCAATGGATAGAGCGTTGGCCTACAGACTGAAGGGTCCCAGGTTTGATTCCAATCTAGGGCACATGCCTGGGTTACATGCTCAATATCCAGTAGGGGGCATGCAGGGGGCAGCCAATCAATGATTCTCTACCATCATTGATGTTTCTCTCTCTCTCTCCCTCTTCCTTCCTCCCTGAAATCAATAAAAATAATTTTTTAATTTCCATCTTTTGCTTAACCAGATTAAACTAGGTTTTGTTTCTTGCAATCAAAAGAATCATAACCAGATACAGTAGGAACACGGTCCTACACACTGTCTCAGACAACCATCTCAACACCACCTCTCCAGGGCTGAAGCCCTCAGACTGTCCCTCAAGTACCCAGAGACCCCACTGAGGTCCCAACCTCAGCGATGACCCTTGACCCCAGCCCTTCACTGAGCCTTGTAACTAGCTAGTTCCTTTCCAGGTTACATATATCATCTTCACCAGTTAAAGCAAACATGCCCTCGATATGTGCTTGTGAAATTGAACAAGAGGTCACAAGACAACATCATGAAATAGACTGGTACCACTCTACACCACTTAGTATTTCCACTTCACGCTCATAGGCAGGGAAGAAGCTCTAGGAAGGCCAAACATTGATGTGCCCTTTGGACAAAAGATACAGAAACTGAAGTCCAGAGAAACTGTGCCTTGCCTGAGAGTGACTGGCCCTGGACACTGGGCTGTACTATGTGCATCCCATGTACATGCACTGGCCGGCCCATTGTCCCACCCCATCTTTAAAAGTTGCTTTCCTAGCCGGGACCTGTTTGGCTCAGTGGATAGAGCGTCGGCCTGAGGACTGAAAGGTCCCGGGTTCAATTCCGGTCAAGGGCATGTACCTTGGTTGCGGGCACATCCCCACTAGGGGGTGTCCAAGAGGCAGCTGATCGATGATTCTCTCTCATCGATGTTTCTAACTCTCTATCTCTCTCTCTTCCTCTCTGTGAAAAATCAATAAAATATATATTAAAAAATTACATATATAAAAGTTGCTTTCCTAGTAGAAGACACCTCCTTGCCCAGCCAGCATGGCTCAGTGGTTGAGCATCAACCCATGAACCAGGAAGTCACGGTTCAATTCCCGGCCAGGACACATGCCTGGGTTGCAGGTTCGATCCCCAGTGTAGGGCGTGCAGGAGGCAGCCTATCAGTGAGTCTCTCTCATCATTGAGGTTTCTATCTGTCTCTCCCTCTCCTTTCCTCTCTGAAATCAATAAAAATATTTTTAAACAAGCCACCTCCTCCTGCCAGTCTTCCAGGACTGCTCCAACGGCACTTCTGATGTCAACTCTTCAGAGAGACTAAAAGCTCTCCGAGGGCAGGAACAGTTTGCCATGCATCCCTGCCCTAACTGCCCACCCTCTCCTTTCTGAACAGAACAAACCAGAATGGGAGGCCTCATTTTTTAACCATATCATATCCCAACCCTTAGGGAGGAAATATAATACATTTCCTTACACCCCTAAGCTGTGCTTTGCCCAGAGACCTGTACCCAGGGGACACACAGGCAGTGCTGACAGCTGAATGGCAGGGCAGAGGAATGCTGGCCTGGGAAAATTTCCGCTAAGGTGAGGGAGTTGTAGACAGAAGGAGCTGCCTTGAAAAGGGGATTTTCACGGGTGAGCTGATTCCCGTGCAGCACGATGGTGTTTTGAGCTTGTGACCAGTGCTGTTTTTCCCTCCTAGAATTTTCCTCATTTTCAATTCACTCCGTGGGGGCAGGGGACTGGTCAGCACTCATTGCCCAGAGGAGGGATGCAGATGGAAGTGATTTTTGTTTAAGCCTCACGGGGAAAAGAGGAACAGGATGCAGACAAGACTGGTCAGAAATGTGGAGAGAAAAGGAACAACAGTGGTGAGGAAGAGCAGTGGGAGGATCGAGCGGAGAGGTGTGTCTGCTCAGGGCTTCCCAGACAGACAAGCAGACACGCATGGTAAACGGAGCAGATAATTCCCGGTCCCAGAATCTGGTGCTGGAAGCCTCGGAGAACCCCGGGGCCAGGCCGACCAGCATGGCACCATCTGGTACCAGATGACTCAATAACCTACTGCGCGCGCGCATACATACACACACACACACACACACACACACACACACACACACCCCGCGGTGTTCTATGGTGACCTAGAATTACACAGCACAGTTTTAGGTAGGTGGGCATGCCAGGAAGACAGCCTATGGGACTAGGGCTTTCCATAAAAACTAAGGAGGAAGGAAATACATTTCTCTTCCTTACACCCTAAGCTGTAGGCTAAAAGTCACGGCGCTAAACACAGTCCCACCACCGCTTCCTTCCCAGCATCTGCTGCCCAGATGCCCCAGGGGCAAGAGCCTGACCTGACCAGCCTCCTCCAGGCCAGAAGCCCCCGGACTGAGGAGAACCTGGCAAACGCAACAGCCCCACCCATGGTTCCCACAACGTATGGGGAAACGAGGGCCCCAGCAGAGCCCCGGTCTGCCCTCTGACCTCTACGTAACAGGAAGTGGCTACTCACTTGACCTTCAGGCTTGCCAGCATGGTCTTGTCGATCCTGCCAAGAGAAAAGCAAGGGCTTCGGTCAGTGCCAGGGCTGACGGCTCCCCCCTAGGTCCAGACCACCGGCCCGACAAAGGCGCTGCAGGGACAGCTGCTCCGGCAGGGAGCTCTCGGCCAGCCCTGGGAGGCAGGGCAGTGAGCTCTGGAGCCACACAGAACCCTGGGAGGTGGGTACAGTTATTCTCGCCCTTTCAGAGGTCAGGAAACTGAGGCTCAGAAGGGTGAAATCAATGTCCCAGCCTGAAGCCAGGTATCCGACGCCAGACCCAGGGATGGTAAGCACTTTGGGCGGCCTCTCCCTTCATGGCCCCCATTTCACAAGAAACTCTGAATCCTAGATCCATCAGTCACTGGCAACTGGACATTCAGCACCTCAATACTTCCTAGGATTCTGCTTTAAAAGATGCAAGCCGCTCCCCCTCCCTCCCCATACCTCCAGCACCTAGGCCCCTCCTGCTCTGGGCACTGCCAGTCCAGCCAAGGAGACAGGCCCCACAGCTGGGACAGAGCCGCCAGCAGGCCCAGGTGCACGGGCAGCTGGGACAGTCACGCCCAGGAGCTCAGCTCGGGGACGATCACGTCTGCGGCAGACTGTCCTGGCAGCCAGCGCCTCCGCCCAGCCTGCGCCTCTCTGGAAGGCAAGGCAGCGCGGCTGAGCTTCTATTTTTACCCCCTACGTATGCCAGCCCTTATGGCTGGGGAAAGAGGCCCCTTCCTCCCTCCGGAGACAGAAGGGTAGGCAAGACTGCCACGGCTGGTGTCTCCTCTTGGTTGGGGGTCACAACCAGTACTGTCACCATCAGTGTCCCCACCACCACCAGTGTCACCATTATCATCATCAATGTCACATCACCATCAATGTCACCCTCACCCTCAATGTCACCCTCACCATCAACCCTAGTGCCACCACCACCATCCGTGTCACCACCCCATCGGTATCACCATCACCATCAATGTCACCACCGCATCAGTAACACCATCAGTGCCCCCAAAATCACCACACCTCCAAGATGCTTGAAACCCTGGAAAGTTCTTTCAGCCACCCCGATCCATCCAGCTCAGAACTGCCACAGCTTCTTCCCACATACTTGGCTGCTGGGGCCAGCAGGGGCAGGGGAGTGATCTCAGGGCCATGTGGTGAAGTTCAGAGGGGAAAGGCATGGGGTGCTCCTAAAAGTTTTTAAGGGCCGAAACCGGTTTGGCTCAGTAGGTAGAGCGTTAGCCTGCAGACTGAAGGGTCCCAGGTTCGATTCCTGTCAAGGGCATGTACCTTGGTTGCGAGCACATCCCCAGTAGGGGGTGTGCAGGAGGCAGCTGGTCGATGTTTCTCTCATCATCGATGTTTCTAGCTCTCTATCCCTCTCCCTTCCTCTCTGTAAAAAATCAATAAAATGTATTTTTCACAACGGGTCCCCCGGGTCTCATTGGCCCCCAACCCCCTCTGGGACGCTGGCCCTCCTCCTCTCCCATTCAACCCGCCATTGGAAGGTAGGTTGGACCCCGGAGGAGTCAGATCCCCAAATTCTGCGGTCATATTTGTAACCGAGAGCAGCCCAATTGTAACCCCAAACGATAAGCCCTTACATTCTACAATTTCTCAGGGAGTCTCTCTTACTTCTTCCAACAAGCTGTGCTGTGGGCAAGGCAGAAAGCCCCACTTACACATGGAGAAACTGAGACCCAGAGGAGGGAAGTGTCCCCTCTGAGTTCCTCCCCGAGTCAGGGTGGAGTCAGCACTAAACCTGCACCCGCTCAGCCCAACCACCCGCCCGCGCTCTGGGCCTCAGCACCCCGTCCTGCCCACATCCACACCTCCCAGCAGCCTGACCCACACAGGGTTCCCACGCTGGGGCGGGCCCCGGAGGGCGGGGCCTACGGCCTTGGCAGCGCTGAGACAGCAGACAGGGCAGTGGCTGTGACACTGGACCTTTCCCTTCCCGGAAGCCAAAGTCCCCAGGTTCTCCCGGGACCTTCTCCTCATCCCATTCACTCCCACCGCCTGGCCTACCTCTGGCATTCAAAGGGGCTTTTTTTTATTATTGATTTTTTTTTTTACAGAGAGGAAGGGAGAAGGATAGAGAGTTAGAAGCATGGATGAGAGAAAAACATTGATCAGCTGCCTCCTGCACACTCCCTACTGGGGATGTGCCCGCAACCAAGGTACATGCCCTTGACCGGAATCAAACCTGGTACCCTTCAGGTCACAGGTTCTATCCACTGAGCCAAACCAGTTAGGGCCAAAGGGGCTTTTAAAGTGACCACCCCCGCCGAGACCGGTTTGGCTCAGTGGATAGAGCGTCGGCTTGGGGACGGAAAGGTCCCGGGTTCGATCCCGGTCAAGGGCATGTACCTTGGTTGCGGGCATATCCCCAGTTGGGGGTGTGCAAGAGGCAGCTGATCGATGACTCTCTCTCTCATCGATGTTTCTAGTTCTCTATCTCTCTCCCTTCCTCTCTGTACAAAATCAATAAAATATATTAATTAATAAATAAATAAATAAATAAAGTGACCACCCCCGAGATTCTGCTCACTGTCTGCGGTCTGCGATAGACCAGGCTCCACAGAGCTGTAAACTAGTCCCCAACCAATGAATATCCCCTCCCGGCTGACAGCCATCCTCAAACCTCCAAGCCTACCAGGAAGCCCTGCCATTCTCTCAAGCTCAACAGCACAAAACGCCTGACGTAGCCATTCCATAAGCGTCTCCTGAGCGCTTACACGGTGCCAAGCAGTCCCTCTCTCTGCTCCACGCCCCCACAGAAGGGTGGGCCTCAGGGGACACCGTGTCACCGCCAGGGTCCAGCCCTACAAGGATCCCAGCCCAGCCCAGCCTCGCACACTGTCCCTGACCAGGAAGCAGACGAGGGATCTGAGCATGCACCCCCGCCTCAGGATAGGAGCCCTTGGTGTGAGTGTCAGGAAGGACCATGAGCAGGCACCAGGCCACACGGGGCCACTCCGTCTCCTCCGTCCTCATCTGCCAAGCACAGAGCAGCCGTAGGCCTTCCTGCCGCAGGATGGGAGGCGAAGTGCCCTCAGAGCGGAGAAAGGGGAAATGAGAGCTGCATGCATATGGGATCAAGGAACCGGCCCGAGGAACAAAGCCCTTCTGTTCCCAGCCCCCAGGCCTCCTTTCCGGGCCCCCTCGCTTCTTGGGCCCCCATTACCCCACCAGCTTCTACACCAGGACACCCCGGCCACCCTCCCTACATGAGCGGGACCCCGGCTGTGCCAACGCCCCAGGCCCAGAAGCTGAAAGGAAACCGATAATGAAAACCACTAGGATCCCGCTCGCTCCCCAGCTGCTGACCAGACAAACCTCTGACCTCCATCTCCCCACGTTCTGGCCCCCGCGGAGGAAAAAGCCTGTTCCTTGTCCAGACAGTAACTGAGAGGCAAGAGGTGGCCCAGGGCACCGGGCCACAGGCCCAGCACAGACGCAGCTGCTCACCCTGGGACAGAGCTAGGACTGGCTGTCCAGGCGGAGGGACGGAGGGGAGGGACCCGGAGATGCAGGCCTGCCCCCTCCTCTCACAGCTCACCCCCTGCAGAGAGGAGGCAGCCCCACGGTCAGCAGGCCACAGACTCCTTCTGCCACCGAGTCACAAAGGAGACACAGACAGGAACGTTACACACACGCACAGACAAGCACACACACAGGCACAGACTGGCACCTGCTCGGAAACAGAGGGCGTGCACGTGGGCTCACGCACAGACACACCCTCCCAGCCAGGCATACACCTCACACTCAACAGGCACACTTCATGCACAATCTCAGGCACGCACACACACATGCACAATCATCAGAGGTGCAGGCCACACACAGAAATGGGAACATCACACACACAACACACACACACACACAACCAGTCACCAGTCACATATACTGGCTCCAGCTCCAACCTTCCAACTTCCCTAGAAGATTAGACCCAACAGACGATGAGGAAAACTTACAGTGTCTGATGCCACCACCAGGACCCTCCAGCTCCATCCGCTGGCATCTAAAAGTACCCCCCACACCCAGGGTTCAGGCATAACCTGAGGTCCCTGTACCCACAAGCACCCACAGTGCTCAACAAGACGGCACAGCTATTCACCCCCATCCCTTCCACCGCCCCCGACTCGTCACCCACCATCCGAAGCCCCCAAAGGACACGCTGCGCTTCCTGCCAAACATGGTGGTGGCCGCCGGGCCCCCAGGGCCAAGCGATGTTCCGGGGCTGTCGGCGAGGGGGCCTCCGTGCCTCAGTGCAGCAGGTCAACGGGCCACCAGCGCAGGGCGGGGCGCCCAGCGTGACACCTCCCCCACGGCCACCCCCCACAACCTGTACTTCCTGTGGGTGAGGCCCCGGGGCCAGGAGGTGTGTCCTGGGTTCTGGGAGGCACTGAGACAAGCAGGGGAGGTTGAAGAGGGCAGCTTCCCCACGCCCAGAGGAACCCGCAGCTCCGGAAGGGGCTCGGCGGGCAGATTACACCACAGCCCGAGCCGGCAGCTCAGCCCCAAGCAGCCCTGGCTTCCCAGAACCCTGAGGAGGGCCGAGGATTCCTGCATGGGGCCTGGCCGGGAGGAAGACCTGGCTGGGACACTGGGGGACCCCTGCAGACTGGGGCCCCTCATGCCCACCGTCCGAGATGCGACCTTTGCCTTCCTGCTCCACCATGGCTTCGCGCACACCAGGAAAGCCAGCTTCACATATGTAATGATCCCTGTGCACATATGTGCGCATGATCCACCTGTACGTATAGGTACATGTGTGCTCACATATGTCATTGGACATGCACGCTCACAGTCGAGTTCATTAACAGACACCTGGACATGTGTACATATATCTTATATACATATAACTCCCCATCAGACACAGGCTCACACACGGATGGAGATACACACGCGTGCATCACGTGTGATGCTCACACACGCATCAACATACATGTGCAACCCAGGCACACGCTCAGGTTGCACACATGCCTGCAACGTACATTCACGGGTACCATACG